GAAGAGTTTTTTTTTTGGGGGGGTGAAAAGGAATGTTTGGGAGGGTAGGGGGGGGGGGGGTGTTTAGAGAAAAAGTGCGGGGGTCAAGACGTGAGGTTTTGGTGGGGATTGAGGTTGTACGCTGTGACGAAGAAGTGGCCTGCCGCCTCTAGAGCGTTGGGTTGTCGGGGAAAGAGTGCTCTAGGGTGTGCATGCTCGGAGTAGGCGCCGGGGGTGTTGCTTGAAGTTTGCTGGAGAGCTCGAAGAGAAACGCATGTCTCAGGTGAGAAGTCGTTGGTTGGGGTAAGCGCTGGATCGTGTTGTTGGTTTCAAGTATCGACCCTGTTTCAAGGGCGCTCAGCGTAAGGTTTTGTCTTGAGGCGCAAGTAGCAGGTGATCCCAACAGTGGTAACGTGATCATCGACTGATACAACTGGTGACGAGTTTGGCCACCTTGGAATGACGCGCTACTTCCAAGTAGAAGTCACGCATTCTTGCGCTACTTAAAAAGCAATTCCCACCGATGTGCGTGGTTTGCTTGTTCCCAAATATGCCTCACGGCCATCTCAGGGGCTTTTGATGTTTCTTGGGGTACCCTACGTACACAAGATGACCCCTACATAGACTATTCCAAGATCGATGCCTCCACAGCTGCAGCACGGAAGGTTCAGTGTCGACAAAGGTGATTGCCTTTATTGGCATCGTATCGTGAGCGGCTTTCCGGAAACCCGAATACACGCTTTACATCGTCCTGTCATGTTTCTCTCTGGGTTGTGAACTTGGAGTATCGGCAGAGGGGATAGGTGCGGTGGGGGAGGGAGTATGTCTAGGATGAGATAAAATCAGGGTTGACAGGTCAACAAGGTACCCGTTGGCCGTCTGTCGACAGACATTATCTGGAAACCCCTGTTGAACCAGTGTTGAGTTTTCTCATACCATCACACGCGCAAAAACAACAGCGTGCACACCTCGAGTTGGACTGAATGCTACGGGGAAAACATCACAAATAATCTCCCAGGTTTTGAAGGCGAACCACGGTATCAACATGTGAATCGTTGTTTTTCGTGTCAAAGGTGCGGTGCTGGGACCCAGAGCTGTCTAGTTGGACTTCTGAGGGCATCGAAGAGGCTGAGTGGCAGCCGGCCAAGAGAGTGGTGCGGGTTCACACAACAAGGTAGGATTACTTGTGCTGCTGCTGTTGCTGCTGCTGCTGCTGCTGCTGCTGCTGCTGCTGCTGCTGCTGCTGTGGTTGTTGGTTGACAGTGATGATTTTTCCTGTTCTTTTTGTCGGTGGCAGCGCTCTGGAAGTCGATGTTGTGGATTGTGTTCCCATTGCTTGTGCCCATACAAGTCGTTGTTGTTCCGGTTAAAAACCACTTTCCCATCATCTGTGCATCACGTTCGTTCCTTACGAATCCATCCGTAGACACAAGTTCCTACCCCAACCACAGGCAAACACAAACATATAGCGATCCCTATCTCTTAGTGACGTTACCGATATACTCCCTCTGATTAGCAATATAAGGTCGATAAGGGCCAAAGGCGAAATATCTCGCGACGACGTGCTAAGCACGAGGTCAGGAGTTTGATCCCCGCTCAGAAAACCTTTTCTCTCCCGAAAACCACATTTTTTTGTCTTTTTTCGAAAAAAAAAAGGTCTTCCCTGTGTTTACGCTCCTCCAAGTGTCAACATTTGGCCACCCTAACGTTCTGCTCCCGTTCAACACCAAAGAACTACCAATGACACTTCAATAAGTGGGTGTACAGGCAGCTCACATATCCAAAAATCCAAAGAAAAAACAAATCAGAAAAAACACTTTTTTTGGCGCGTACATGTACCAGAGAAATAACGGCGACCTTCTTTCCTTTCTGACAATTTTCTGTGGAGATCAGCATCGGAATGAGTTTCCTCAGGAGAGGGGATGAAACCTTATAATCCGCTGTTATTATTGTTTTCCGTGACCGCCTATCCTGTCCGAGCAATACGCAACAAAAATAATGCTGAAAAGATGGACCGAACACCCTAAACTGCAATAATATCGACCTTATATTACTCATCAGAGGGAGTATGAAATGCAGATCGCTCGGTCGGAGCTTCCCGTGACCTGTGCCAATATTCAGAATAGATTCCACCTTTGGCAGAGCACATCTCCTGAATGTGGAAGTAAAAGACACGTAGTGGAGCGTAGCACGACAAAGCCTCCGTTTGGCTCAGAAACAGCTGTCTGTGAAGGGCGTTAGGGTCATTCTCCAGTACGCATTTCGTGCCATCGGCGAAAATTGTTTGCCGCGGCGCGATCTGAGATACAACAACGATAACACACAACGGGGAAAATGAAAGTTACGCAGATAAAACGCCAAGGTACATCGCACAGGTTGCACGCCCTCTATTCCTGTTGATCAGGCGACTACCGTGCATTTGATCAAACACGACCTCGCCCCAGCCCAATCCCGGGCTGTGCATCCCAACCCCAACCCCCCTTCGCAAATCAACCTTTTTGTTCTCTTAGGGTGGGCGCAATAGCCGTCGTGCAGGACCGCGCACGTGACCTGTCCTACCTCAGTTGGCGGCTGACTCCGATATACGACCCCGACCCCTTGAGCGAGGGAGTGGAGGGCATCGACGACGACAACGGCGACGCTATCGATTTATCGGGGAATTCAAGTGCGTCTTGATCTGTCGGATATGGCTACGGCAAAGAGCTTCATTGAGACCTCGGCGGTAATCGTCGTTTGTGTGTTGCTGTCCATCTCGCGGCAGCTATTTCTGTCTATCTCGAGTGATGATACGTAACAGGGAAGCAAGTAGGACGGGAATGGGTCCGATCACAGCACCTGATATTGCCGTGAAGAATAACGAGAGCGGTTGACCTATATAAAGGAAACGTGGGAACACGCAATACAAAAGTATCTATTCATCAATCCACAGGATGAGTTTCCCTGAGGTGTAGAGGCTTTTTGTCGAGTTGGGTACCAGCTACCGTAGTTACGGTCAACATGTTCACATAAACAACCTCTGGGTGACTACTCCTGGCTTAGCCTTTCTACGACTCGATTTCTGCAATCGCACCCTCGCTCACCACACGACATCTCCGGCCCCGGCCTTCCACCCGATTTCTCCGAAAAAGCGAGAAAAACTCACACGGGAACCAATCCCTCCGTCGGCGCTCGTTATTTGACCTTGTAGCCTTAAACTTCCTGCCCCCTTGCCCCCGTCGACCCATCGAGGGCTAACGCAGATGTTTGTGTCTAGTACAACAGTGGACCACAAGCAGTAAATATACGCGCATCAAACCTACGGGATTCTACCGAAGGATAACAAGTAAGCCTTAGGTTCCTCTCATATTGAATCCCCCATCTCCCCCTACCGTGCGCCCAACAAAACCACGAAACTACACCCCGCCCCCCATCACAAAGCTCCTGAAGCAGAGCTCCAGCTGGAGACCCCTCGCTTCGTCATTCGGCTGAGGATACGCGGAACCAAGTGCCGGCTCTTGGGACCGGATCTGCCGGAACTCAGAGGCCTCCTCAACGCGCCAAGCATGGGTGCAGGCCGCTTGATCATGGAGCTCGAACGTGCAGGCAAGAAGAAGAAGGCGTTTCCAGAAGAGAGCGATGTGTGTCGGGAAGTGGGCTATTTCGTTCTTCTTGTGCAATACGCATATATATATATATACCAGTGAATGCCTGTTTCAGCTGGTGCTGACGTACCGTGTAGATTGTAGAATATCCTTCCACACCCACACCATTTTCCCTTGCCTTTTTGTTGGGGCATAATTTTAAGGTCCCCACATGCCATACCCCCCTCGAGTGTTGCTGTCCCAAGGGCCCACGGGCTTGGGTCGTCACGCGAGTCCCCGAAACCCGACGATCGTGACCACGTACTGTAGTTTGGCCTTCGACCACCATGACTAAGAGGTATCCTCCCTCCTCTTTAGCCTGTTCTCAGTTTCGGCGGAGAATTGCCGCCGCGTGTAGATACTTCGTGAAGGAACAAACCCGCCAACCCTAACCGCGCACTTCACTAGAATGTCACCGATATACCGACAGGCATCTGCTTGTCTCCGCGCGACGAGGACGCGGCTAGGGCAGTATCTTTCGTTGGCGACAACGCCAGCAACGGTGGTAGCGATAGCGGCGGCAACGCCCACGGTGGGGAGATGAGGCAGTCCGGGGACGACCCCGACAACGAGAGCAATAACTCCAGAAAGGGCGTTACTGTTAAAGACAGGTAAATACCTCACGAAACAACAGAATTGAAAGAGACGCCTTTGTTTCAAGGGTAGTTTGTATCTTCTCCGTCGCGCGCAGATGGCACTGATGCTAAGAAGCGATGTGACGAAGGGGACTGACACAGGGGGAAAGATTTGGGCACGACGTGGTTCGTTCGCAAGATAGAACCGAGGCGTGGGGAAGCGTAAGGTGCATCCGTCGCAGCGGGTTGGATTGCTCTCTACGTCCTTGCGACATGGGCATGTGTTCGCCTCTATCTTCTTCTTCCTCCACACCAGTGCTCGTATAGACTATGCCTTCCTTCTTGCTGGGTGTCCATTTAAAAGTTTCAGTCTCAGGCTCTTCGCAGTAAGATCGTACCACTCCATTAGCGGCTTCCAGTATGGGTCCAAGTGATCATCACCATCCACCGTTCTTCTCGTCGCTATCCTCTTAGACTATCTGTCTATCGCCACGTCTTTCTTCCATTTCTATGTAATTTTGTCCGTGTCTAGCATACCTCTGTGGCTTCCTGCAATCTCCTTCCCCATTCTTCCTTTTTTCGGCATCTCATCACTCGTTGCTATTGTTGGCAGCCGCCTATCTGCACTTGGCCTGCGTGGTGTTGCCCTTTCAGCTCCCTCGAGTATCTGCTTCCTTTTAAGACAACACAGTTCCCGCTTCTGCCTCGAGGAACAATCCTAGTCGTCGTCGTGGTACGCCCTAGCACTTTCTCAGCTGCCGTCATCTGTGCTTCTTTCCAGAGTGTTGACGAACTCCGCGTTTCGTTGGCATCATCCACGTCCTGTACTCTCTAGCTTTGGTGCAATCACCTGTAAAGACCACGTGATTTGTATGGCCGACCTGTTGCCGAGGCGGTGTACCGTTTCTCCTAACGTGCGGCCACGGTGGTAGTGTTCACCAAAGAGCGGGGAAGGGGGGGGAGAACATTCAAGAGATCGAGAAACACTCTATGTAGCAACCCCCCCCACCCCCGCCCCCACGCGGAGATTAATTGGAGACACGCGCTGAAAGATGAAACATTCCCGTGTCATTGCACGGAGGCGTCTGTCCAAGAAGGTGCTACCCCCAACGCTCCCGCCCCCACCCCTCCTGCCTCGCTTGGACCATTCCCATCCCCGCGATCCGCCTGCTTCGGATCGGCCAGAGTTCTAGAGGAGACTCTGTGCAGAGAAGTTGCGAGCGTGGCGGCCGCGTTCGAGATCAAGAGCTCCCGCTGGAACGGGACCGTCGGCGACGGTCGGGCGGTTTTCGAAGTACGATTTTGTTTCAATTTTGGTGCACAATGAGGCGATTTTGTGCCCCCAAGACTTGACCCTACTTCCTTGTTATACAGACTGCAGCAGCGGCGGTCTGTGTCTAAACCGAAGTAGCAGTGAGTACCAGCGTTGATACGAAAGGGGTGAGGCACAGCGATGGTACTTACCATCCCCGCCCCGCTGCCTCATGACGTATCCATGACACGCGATAAACAGCATAGCAGGGCTACTATGTATGCATATCTCATTAGAACCTTACTTTGTCCCACGATGATGTTGTCGTGTTTTACGACATCTCGTACCTTACTGTAGGAATAAAATATTCCCCCCCCCCCTCAAGGGGAAAATGTGGAGAGTGCTGAAGAAGATGACAGAGTGTACGAAAAGCGCGGTCATGCTAGACGGAGAACTTTCTATATTCTTCGACATTGAGCAAGGGGTCCCACAAGGTTGCACGCTGTCCCCAACATTGTTTCAGGTGTTCATCAACGATCTGTTGGAAGTCGTAGAGGCAGTCCGGAAGGGAGTAAAAGTAGGGGACACGGAAACTTCGGTGTCAGGAATGCTGTTTGCGGATGATTTTGTTGGTATGTCGGACACCCCTGAGGGACTGCAACTGCAAATTGACGCGGCGAAGAAGTTTACTGATAAGTGGAGATTGTCTGCCAACGTTACGAAGAGTGCCGTCATGGTATGCAACGAGGGCAGGGAGGAACCAGTAGAACATAGATGGAAGTGGGGGATCGAGGAGATTGCAGTAGTGGACCAGTACACATACCTCGGAGTAGAGATCGCAAAAGATTGCTCGTGGAATACACACATGTCCAAGGTAGCGGAAAAGGGCAAAGCACGAGCAGGGAAGCTGCACCCAATACTCGCAAACCGGCACCTTGATACACGCACCAAATTGACGGTTTTGAAGAGCGTAATCGTACCGCCGCTAGAGTACGCCGGAGAAGTATGGGAAGGAAATAAGAAGGTAGTGAAAGAACTCGAGGCGGCGCAGATGAAAGCAGCGAAAATCATCCTAGGATGCTCCAAGCGCACAAGTAATGCAGCAGTCAGGGCAGAATTGGGGATCCAATCCCTACGGTCGGGAAGAGACGTAAGGAAGCTGACATGGCAGTATCGCATGTGCGGGATGGGAGAGGAGAGATTGCCGAGAATAGTATGGGAGGCGAAGTGGGCAAACAAAAAGAGGGGTAGACAACCCACGGAATGGGTCAGGGTTGTAGAGGACGTATGGAAGGGATTGGACATCGACGAAGATGAAACGCTTGAAACGGAGGGTCTACAGGGGTTCAAGAAGAAGATATCTGTTGCTTGTGCCGACAGAGAAGAACAGAATCTAAGGAAAGAATCCAAGGATAAGGAGGGTCTAGAAGTGTACGGAATGTTGAAAGAAGGAATAGGGTTCAAGGATTACCTACATGGACCAATGGATGCAGGGACAAAGCTTAAGGTCAAATTCAGGACCGGGGACATAGGCCTTCGCGAACGTAGACGAAGACATAGGACGGTAGACGACGAAGACGACAAGTTCAAATGTGATTGCGGCTTCGAATGCGAAGACAGTGTTCATGTAGTCGCGGAATGTCCGTGGTACGAAAAGGAGAGGGAAGTGTACATGACTGAGCTGGGAAAATACAAGGGACGTACAGGGAGATGTTTGAGGCATGGAATAGGGAGGAGAGGACGGTAGCGGTACTAGGGAGTAGAAAGTGGTTTGAAAAGGCGGGAAGGGACATCGTTAGGATAGACAAACTAGGAAAGACATTTTTTGAGCCACCTTTGGCAAAGTAGGAAGGAACGATTGGCCATCGGTGATCGGTCCTGTGGGAACAATGCTCCGTCCTCTCGAGGGCGCGTGGTCAATGGTCTAACCGCTAAGGCATGCAAAACATAAGAGTACGCCCCCCTCCCCCCCCCCCCCACGACCTAGGAGACAACTGACTGGTGTGCCTGCCTGAAGTGTCCTCTTTTTCTTTCTGGTATGCTGCCATCTCTTGCTATCTGTTTTGTTCCTCTGCCCTACTGTTGTCAGAGGCGTTCTGGTTTCGAAAGCTCTCATGAGATGCCCGCCGTTTCCGATTTCAGCGTTCTCTTATCCAAAGCACGCAGGCAAGGCTCTAAGCAACGCCAGTAGAAATTAACACCGAAGAGAGCAGAATCATGTGCGCAAAAGAGAGCAGGGTTACTTTTCGTCAACGTTGTTGTTGCGATTTTCTCCTATTGCCTTCGTCGCGTCTTGCAGAGTCCTGACCCACGTACGCGCCGACTCTTGAACATTATCGCAATTTGGCGGTGCCGGCGGTACTGATTTTTCGGCAGGTTCGGGAGACGGGGGCGTTCACAGGAGGGGATGGAGACTCCATCGACTTCAAGACAACCATCATGGAGCTTGACGAGGTACAGTAGGTGTAGAGAATCGGGCAATGGACAACAACAACAGTGTTAAAAGGGGCCGAGCATATATAAATTCGTTCGTCTTGTAATTCTGTTTCGTTTGCTGACACGTGCTCTCGCTGTTCTAGAGATCTATCTGTGGTGCATTTCTTCCGAGTAAACTACGCAGCCGATTCCGAAGTACTTGCTGTGATGGGTTCCGAACAATAGGATAGACAAGGGAAATGGGTGCCAAGTTGTTTGGATACTACCAGTAGCAGCCAAGGGTCAACTTGACCGCTCGATTGAGTTCTTGCATGTAACGACCACCGGGGATGATGCACGCATGTATCTTTGTCGACCAGGCATTAGGTAGGCAGACTGTGCAGTAAACGACACAGTGCAGCCCGTCCATTCTGTTCAATGAAGCACATGTGCACGGCACAAGTGCTGTGTCTACGCGATCGGATGGGTAAGTGAATCCCAGTAGATGTCCCAAGTCCCAATCTCAATCAATTGATTTCACATACAATTTGTTTTGGTATCACGTTATATTAGCATTACTTCTTTAGTGCCATTGTTTCCAGTCGGTCTATGTCATAACCCTGTTTGCAAGAGCGTTATTGCCTACTACTGTAGTTGCAGAGATGTCTCTGAACCCATCGGCTGTGTTTCGCAGGTGTCAGACTCGGCTCACGACGCCCCCGACGTCGGCCTGGCCCCGTGTCCGGTGAAATGCGCCCTCATCAACGGTGGCGCGGACGGAGGAAGCGGTGCGTGTGACGAGTGTATCGCGTCTTGTTGTGATTTGGGGGAAAAATTGTCTTATCTGAATGCCTATGTTGTTGGTGTTTCGTGCCACAAGTTGCGCTCCGTGTCATATGTTTTATCGAGAGGAAGTCTAACTGCTACAGGTACACGTCGGACTTATTGCTGTTTTTGGTATAGAGATGGTCACGACATCCAACGGTAACTCGTGCCAACACATCCCGTAGATGATCTCCGGTCGGTTGAGTCTCCCGTCAGTGTTTTTTCACCGTCAGTGATATTGAATATACCTAGCTACAGTCGTTGAGGTTGTACCCATTCTACGGTAATGTTTACCCGCACTTACTATGGCTTAGCATCCAACCACACTATTGTAATGTATCCAATTGGTCAACAGAGCGGAGTGGCGGCAAAGCCTAGTAGTGCACCGCGCGTACTGGCTTCAATAACCGACAACTATTTCTTCCTGCCTAGCCAGCAACCCTGTCAAGCCCAAAACTTGGATCCGCTCTCCCCTTTTGCTACCCGTCCCACATGTGTTCGATGGTGGATCATTGCATAGGCGCAAGTGTCGGCCACGGGGGTGGGAAATCGGAGCTGGACACCACTCGCCTCCCGGCAGAAGAGACTCACGCGTGAGTGTCTGTCTGTCTATGTAACTGGCAGTGTAGATTGTTTCGCTGCTTGGACGACCGTTAGAACGCTATGCAAGGCGGATGTATGCGTGACGGTACCAGACACGCACGCGCGAGTGTTGGGATGCTTGTCGATTAAGAAGAGCAGGACAGCGGCGCAAAATGCACTCACCATCAGTCAGAAGTGATCAATATTTCCCTCAGCGACATCGACATGGAGATGGTATTTCGTTAGCTTTCCTCTTCATGACCGACCGACCGTCGTCTCAATCACGTTTCTAGCGTTCTAATTGTTTGCCTGCTTGGAAAAGAGGTGTCCGTTACGGGGCGTTCGTGACTCCACGCCCCCCCTACCTACCGTACGGCGGAAGACAACAAAAGCGCCCGAAAATGGGTTCTACTGCAGTGCGTCATTGAGAGTTGGGAGCTGATGGTGCTTTGTCTCGAAGAGGGAATGACAGTAGTCTTTGCAGAAGTACGTGTCCCACTGTCAAAGACCATGACCTCCCTCCGTCCCCCCGCCCCCACCGCCGTGGGGCGAAAGGTATTTGGTTGGAGTTCAAACGAAACGAGAGCGCAAGGTGCCCGTTACACCATTGATTCCGGTCGAGGGTGCCTTCCCGGTACGCGATAGCCACAAGGAAACAACACCACGCAAACGAACTAGGGAGCTCCCGCCGCCGCAAACGAAGATGGCAGGGCAGAAAACGTCTTTTGGGCGTTAATCTCACCACCAATTGTGTTGCCTGTGTTTGCACGGCACAAACCTCCATAATAGGTACTTGCTCAAGTGCTTGTCGATGACGAGCTGCGCGGAGGCGACGGAGCGGGCGCAACAGTCCTGCTGCCGTTTCCGAAAGGCCGTCGAACAGGTGTGTGTGTGTGTGCGCATGCATTCGTTGGTGATATGAGCGTAGGACATTCAGGAAGCATTCCTTTGACAGTCTTGTCGAAAAAGGGAGCTTTCTTGGGCTAACATCAGTAGCAACACCTTGCTTGGTAGAGAGCAGAGTTCCTTCTATAACTCAGAAATTCAGCGCGCTTTTTCTTGCTCGACCAGATAGCAAGGGTTGTTCATGGAATGGGGAAGTCAACAGAAGGACTCACTTCTGCCCGTGCACCTGCCTCGCATTTGCGTATCGTATTACGATGTTGGTTCGTCCTCGCAGCTGCTCCGCATCACACGGCCGTTCAGTTTCTCTTAAGGCGAAGACGTCACCGCTCCTCCGTCGAGCAGGCTCCGCCAATCACCCGTCATCCCAATGCGCAAGGGGACAAACTACTGGTGCACCCTTTGATCACTTACTTACTCCACATATTGTGGAGAAACCGAAAGGCTGCAAATTCACGGACAGACTGGAAGCGGTGTTTGCGGGGCGGTTCGCGAGATGGGTGAAAATACGTGCTTGTTCGAGGAGGCCCGTCACCTTCCTTTGCCCACGTTTGGGAAACAGCGTCTCGGCTGCAACAACCAATGGTAATCACCCTCACGCAAAATGACGATATTTCCACCCCCACCCCCCCCCCTCCCCCTCGGTGTTTGCCATCGGGGTTGGGTTTTCGTCGCTTGGCAACGACGTTGTAAAACAAGCCAATTCATTTCGTGAACTCGACAACCAGGTTACCGTTTTTTTTTTTACCTCGTTTTTTTTTTTGGCGGTAACCATAAATGGTGGTCGAGTAGATCATGTTGTGCGGGGTCGAGAACCCTCACTCCGCGCAACGGGGGATGATCGCACCACCTTGTGTTAAAATGGTCAAGCTTCCTCGAGGCAGTTACACAGTGCTTACAACTGTCTCTGGAAGTGAAAGCACCAGAAAATAAATTAAGTCATACGTAGCTGTCATCCGTACGCAAGGAAGTAAGCACAAGATGCCGAACACCCTTAGCAGGATGCAGCTCACCCTTCATGCGACTCGCCAAATACCTCACGGCGCTTCGCGCTTGGTGATGTGAGAGCCTGGTCCGGTGAGAACCCGGCGTGCTCCGTCCCGGCTTTGTAGGGATGCGAGGTCAATGGTCAAACGACTACGGCATGCAAGACTATGAGTACACCCCCCCACCCGGGGTGCGTACTCTAGCGACGATAGTTTAGGGAAGACATTTTTTAGCCACCTTTGGCAAAGCAGTAGGAAGGAACGATTGGCCATCGGTGATCGGTCCTGTGGGAAAATGCCTCGTCCTCTGGAGGACGCGTGGCCAATGGTCTAACCGCTAAGGCATGCAAAACGTAAGAGTACGCCCCCCCCCCATCCGGGCTGCCGATTAAGAGTAGCTCGTGATACCCTGGGTCTCGTATAGATTAGGGGAGGGTCGAAGGTATTTGTTTCGTTTTGCGTTCAATGGGGTACAACTTCTGGTGAGCCACGGTGGAACCAAAGCAAGGCTGTAGGAGGTGATGGAGAAGACGACGCGCTCGCTCGATCGATCGATTTGAACAATCTTGACGGTGACACGTCTGGCTGCGCGGACTAGCTGGCTATGTAAATACGATCGTTTCTGTACGCGCACCGTGCATAGTGAAGTGGTCAATCACCAAGAGAGCTGTTTATTGGATGCGGCCGAAAAAACGTGTCCTTTTCAGGCCGCCGGCGGACGGATGTTGTTCTTCTAGGCCATGGGCTCAATTTCTGCTGCTGCCGATGCGTTATTTAGTGTTGTTGTTAGTTGTGGTTCGTAAACAAAGTGGGTGACTCTGGCCCACCAAGTTATTATATGCTCCCCGCACTTTGTCGAATCCTCCGGCCTGTTCGAGAAAAGCTAGCTGTGTGGGCCGCAACCCTGCCCAAGACGAAGAAGACACACAGAGAAGAATCGTCATCGCCGTCAGGCCCGTGGTCAATAACGATACTACCGTAAGACAAAAGTCGGAGATATGGCAACGGGTGCGATCGATAACGAACAGTTTTTGCTTCTTCGTGTTTCCTGTCGCACCCCGGTGCGATCTCTCCGATCGGTGCGATGCCCAATCAAAGAATACACACAGCGGCCTTACTATAGTGCTACGGCGGTGTTGTTTGCACGCATCCCGGTACCATATCCCCGACGGGTGTGATCTCTCCGCCTCTAGGATCCACAGTGTAGGTATTCACAAGCAGATGTGCGGCGTACCGTGCAACGTAGTAGAAGTGGTACGGAACAACAACAGCTTTTACCATGCAGCGAATGGTCATTATTATCATGGATGTGATGTGAGTTTGGCTATTGCGTGACGAAAGAGCAACAAACACGACATGGTTTCCATCTGAGGTACCCCTACATACGGTGGTAGCAGGTTGTCTCCCACTTTCGTTTCGGTCAACCTCTATTATACAAAACATACGAGTACCCAGTAGGCCTCTATCTCCTTATATACGTGTACGTTCATACATACTGAAAAACGACAGCCTCCCGCGTGAACCGCGCCAACCGTACATGCATGCATGAAGGTGGTGCTCCGTTGACACCGTCACCAGATGTGAAAGGGGGGCACATATGCATGTATATGTACCTTCTTACTACTTTCCCAACAGGTCAGAAAGAGCTCAATCAATCTGGATATATTTGAGGCTGGAGGGTCGGTGAGATCGCACCTGGTGCGATCTCACCGATGACATCATCCCGCTGGTGACATCATCCCGCCCGGTGACATCTCGCCATCTCTCCGCCCGGTGCCATCTCTCCGACTCTTACGGTATCCCTCCGACCTCCGACCCACACAAGGGTGCGTCTCCGTAATCGGGGAGATCACCGAGAAATTCGAGAACGATCTTGAAGAACGAAGAACGGTTCCCGCTTCCCGCTTCCCAGGAACCTGCGGAACGACGATATTCTGCTATTCTAGAGAGAGGTTACGCCGCACTTGCTGTTCACTTTGCTCGTTGCATCTCACCCCCCCCCCCCTCCTCACAAATATGGACAGCATCAAGAACACCAGCAACTTCAACACCATGAACAACAACACGAAGGACAACAACGACGACTTCATCAGCATGGCAGCGCACGTGACGGACGAGTCCATCTGCAAGGGCGCAGGAGAGCTGAACCTTGTGTACCAAGCAGCAGCGCGGAACCTTCGCGAGTTCCGCCGCGTCCCCTCCTTGACAGCGGGCGGCCTGGAGAAGACCATGGCCCTGCTTCAGCTCCGCCCCGCCCGTCTCGTGGCGCAGGGCCTCGCCCCAAGGGATCTCCTGAAGGGACATTCAGTACCTGATGCTGACGCCGACAGCAGCAGCGGATCGGAAGTCGAGCCAGAGCAAGCGGACAGCCAAATCTTCGACGACTCGAACAGCAGCGACACCGAGAACGTCAACATCGCCACGCAGGACGGCATCGAGGCCGGAGCCAGCAAGCATCCCATCCACGCGGTCTTTGTCGCCGCAGCGTCGATCTCCGGCCCCGTGAAACCAGGCCGTTACTCCGTGCGGTTGGGGTAGGACCTCACCGCCTGGTCAAGCTCGGACTCGTTCAACGCGAAGAGCTTCGGCGGTCCAGGCCTGGCGGCAGGCGGGGTGGCCCTCCTCCGCACCACCCGCACGCCGGTCGCCCAGGAGGTCGTGGCCACCACCACCGCGGCGGCGGAGGAAGAAGAGCAGGCAGGCCTCACGGCCCCTCTCCGCATGGTCCTCCGCCGCACCTCCGAAGGGGTCTTGCCCACGATGATTACCGCCGGTCGTCAAGTCCCACCCACGGACCTCCGCCTCGACCGTTCGAACAGTCCGGTCGCAGGCGCGGAAAACAAAAACAAGAGCACCCTTTCCCCGGGGCATCCCACGGCCCTCAGCGCCACCCTCACCACGGACCCGGCAACCACTACTACGGAAGGCACCCAACCCCCCGCACCTTGGTGGACAACGCGGTCCTCACCGCCACGACGGCATGTCCCTGCAACACGAAGTGCACCCTCACCACGGCCCGCCCGCCGGCATGCGTTGCGAGGGATTCGGTGACGCCCGGCAGCAGCAGCAGCAGCAGCAGCAGCATGGACGCATGGCGGCGCGCCCTCCTCGCCTGGACCCCCGCCATGAGCGCCCCCTTCCCGCGCCGACGATGCAGACAGCGGCCTACTGAAAAAGCGAGCACCACCACCATCATCTACCGCTGGTTGATGATCGGCATGTTGCTCTAGAAGCGAAGACGTCAGCAGCATCTACCATAGTGTAGATGGAGTGGTCCGGTGAAAGACCGAGAGGCGGTTTTACCTCATCTTTTGGCGTGCTTTGATCTATATTTGTTCATTTAATGGCAATTGGGCAGAAGCCTCTCTCGGGAAAACTGATACGAGGGACGAAGGAAGTACTTGGACGCACCCACGGGTGGTGCGGTGCGTTCGGAAGGCTTCTGCGCTTATGCAGCTTTGTGTGTACTTGGTGTGTGTGCGTGTTTGGAGTTGCACCGTGTGTAGTGTGTACATGCGGGATGACGGTAGAAATATGCCCCTACAAGTACGTATGCTTCATATGTTGCGGTAAGGTGGAGACTGCTGTGTTGTCGTCGCCGGTGGCAGGCATCTTGAGCTTTCGTCCAACACTGGGATGTCTTTTTGATTTGAGCGTTGCCAACAACGTGGTGCAGCGAGGAGGAAGGGGGGGCGTACGCGCCCGGGTGATGGATTGCCCTGGACCAATGATTTTCCGGAGAGGGGTTGGTTGTAGCGGCGGGAGAAACGTGCCACGAATGACCGAATGGAATATTAATGGTACCTTTCTTTCTCTCGTTTTTTTTTCTTATAAATAGCAAGCGACGTTGTTGGTGAGAGAGGCAGTGTGTGTGGTGAGTGAAACGGAGGCCATCTCGGAGCCGCAAAATAGTTGATTCCTGTTGGTGTTTCGCGTCTTGTTGGAATGTGTGTGTGTCGCCCAAGCCGTGTTCAACGATAGTGGACAATGCAAGCGGGAGCACGCGGAAGAAGTAATACACTCACACGGAAGCGTTGGTGGTACACTTTGATTTTTTAGCGGCAGGCAAGGCTATCGCGAGTTCGTCGTCTGGCTGGGTGCGTCGTGTAGCTAGGTGCAGCTGTCGCCATGTTTTGTGGTGCCGTGCCGTATGTTGTAAAGAGAATCATCAATATTTGTCTCCAACGAAATAAGACTGCAGTATTTAGGCTGCGGGTGCAGCACAAGTAAGTCTTCTGGATGAGTTAGTGCTGCTGATGATGCGGGCGACAATAATAATGATTGATAAAAAAAATGTGCTTCGAATTCATTCGAGGTAAAAAAAAAACACCCGGTGGGTTTTTCCCACCACCCTCTCGAAAAAGAAGATGCCAAAATTCCGACGAGGATCGTCGTGCTGATCGACGCCAACGGTGCAGCAAGCAGATCGAGCTGTCCTATGTCTGCTCTCTTCTCTTCCGCGCGCCATTGAGCACGCAACATGCATGCATACAGAATTTAGATGATAGTATGAGCAGAAGGGATCTGTACCTACCTCCCTGACTACCGTGTGATTTTTGAACACGAATAATCTCCACCTCCTCCTCATCACATCCAGCTCGTCAGGCTCCATAAATTGTGGATCTATCTCTCCTCACCGCGCGCCATTGTCGCCTTTCTCTGCTTGCGTTGGTGGGAGGCGGGAATGAATAATTATATATATTTTGATACGAATGTGTAGTATTTCCTGAAAAGGAAGGCTGTTCAAGGAGTTCATTTGCGGAAGAGGAGCAAGCAAGCCTTATAGCTATTATTCTGTAATCGATCGTTCAACATGTGAAGACCTGTTTGCCCATCGGCGCGGGGCGTCTAAAGTCCATCCGTCGTTCGATCATTTGACAATGACCTTCCGCGGTTTGCTTGTTGTATCCTCCGGTTGTTTCTCGGCACCTGTTTGTTTGGTTGTATATATTTACTTGTTTCTTCCCGCAACCCCCATTGCCAGGCGAAGCGGGAGAATTTGCTGTAGGTAGTAGTGCAGGACATCGGAGGTCACCGGGTTGTTCTCCGATACCGCTACGTCCTACTGATGCTGTTGCTCGACATCGAAAGCCAAAAAGCACTCAACAAGAAGAACCACATACATACATACATGAAACCATGTGTATTCTCGGAGTGAAGCGTCTTTGAGGAAGGAAGCTCTGTCAAGCTGGCGGAGGAGGACTGATGGTTGGTGACGACGACATACATACCTATGCCTTGGCAGCAGACTAAAATAGATGGGACACCTTACATCTCGGCAAACCACAGCCGTCGGTGAGAAAGAAATAGCTGGAGCCAAGAGGCTTCAAGAGCGCATCACCCACAAGACCGCGCTCCTGTCTCGCGTGCACACATAGACGAAAAAGTAGATTCTTGGCTTCATTTATGCGAGATGTCAGTTAGTGATCCATTTGGCCCATCTCGTCCGTCCTCCGCGCCTCGCCATCCCTCATCCCTCGCCCGGCAGCAAACCAGTGTAGGTTTCTGTTGAAAACGCTCTTCCATGATGATATTATGTAGGCACATCTGATTATCACAAGACTTTCTCATGCATATTGGGCACATCTGATTGTCACAATACTTCATTCTTCACGTGCATATTGGGTACAATGATCATCACACTTTACTTTTGGACAAACAGCTCTTGGTTTGTTTCAACGTTTCGATCCCTCCCTCCCGTGTTTGCTTGACGCCGTCCGTCTCAACCTTTCGCTTCGTCCACACACCCTCGGTTGTATCTCGACGACAGCTCGGATTCAGGGTCACAACAACAAGAGGGGTTCTTACGCAGCGCGTGGAGATATCACTTCAATTACAAGAGGAGACAGTTTATCTGATAACTTCCCATTCCACCGCTTCACCCCACCCAGTTTCCAGGGAGGACGAAAGTAGTAAACACAAACCCTCCCACTGATTCAAGCAAGACGAACCGCGCATTGGAGTAGAAAATAACAATTTCCCATCCTTCCGTGGGTAGTCTTGGCGGTCATGCCACCCGCCGAGGCCAGGCCGATTACGTGTGTCCTCCCGTACGCAAGTACACCACAGGGTACTGCAGAAAAATCTTACTCCTATCCCTGTGCTGGCTGCATGTTGTGAAGACAACACTCATCTTAGAACCGGCCTACGAAACGAAAATAGAGACTAAAACGGGACTGGTGATTGACTCTCTTCGCAGGTGGTGTGCATCAAGTGCTGCATATCCAGCTTTGATGCACAAGAATAATTATCGTTTCATCCTCCGCTCAACCCAACACCCCCGTCCACGAGTTTTAAAAATTGCCAAAATTGGCGACATCGACCTGAATGCAAAACGTTACCCGAGTTTTGTACGCTGCTGTTGTGATCACAAGCCACCCATCGATAGTGTTACAGCACAGTACAGTATGGCACACTTTATCTACGCTTCTGATCCAAGCAAACCGCGCTCTCTCTCTCACCCGCTTGCGACATGTTGACAAGTCGCACACAAATAAGACGAAAAAATCGTGATTCAAACTCTCGCCGCCCCCTCCGTAGTTTCAACCCCATTCATGCAGACAAAAAACATGTCAACGCGTTGCTCGCTTGTTTGTGCCTACAAATATCCCGCCCAATGCTACTTTCGATCTTACCCAGACTATTGTAATCATTCAGTATGTTACGGGCGTTCGGCTACACACAACGAAAAACGTTTGCACCTCCCGAAAAGAAAAGGCTGCGCGGACGGACGGACGAACGGGCGGGCCAAGCCAACAATCAGGCAAAGCCAGGAAGAAAGCTGACACGTAAGCGCTGTGTGTGTTATCAACTCAACCTCCACAACACGTGTGTCTTACCCGCCCCCCCCCTCCCCTTCTACGCCCTTCAGCTGGCGAACCTCGAGGAGCGCCTTCGTGACGACCGCAACGTGAAAAACAACAAGCCACTTTATCCAAGCCTTCCACGGCCATGACATGATTGGAAGGAACAAACAGGACCATAACTATAACGCACGCACGAAAAATATATCAAGGGAGATGCGAAATTATCCTGCCGACAAGTTCTCTAAACAATAGACCGTACACCCCCGCACAAGCATCACGTGACAACCTCGTGCTGGGGAAAAAGACATGCAAGAAAAAAAAAGAACGCAAAACGAACAATGTCGTGCGCGGGTACAGGGGGTTTCTCCCCTCCCCCTCCCGCAAGCACGAACACCCAAAAATAACACACATTAGACTGATAAACGCCTGGCCATTAATGGCCGGTCCGATCAGCACGCGTTTGCCCTGCCACGCAGGAATTGGTGGACAGCCCCGCTGGCTGGTCTCCCAAAAAAAAAAAACTTGAAAGCAAAGAGCTCCTCCACCCGCACCCTCCTTCCCTTCGATGAGCAACACGGGCAAAAGTAGACGGTGGGCGACGAACTAAGCTCTCGTTTTTCTCCGCAACACCAGGCGCCTCGAATACCCAGCGAAGGAAAACGAGACACCGGCTCTCCCTCTGGGGAAGTCGTTCGGAAGAGAGAGCACTACTCTCATCGGCACGTTGCTATGCATAAAAAGGTATCTCAGAAGGAAATACTTCGTTTTCATCTCAAACCGGATTTACCGCGTCGCAGACTGTCGTTCGGGGTGATTGACGATACTGACTTGCCTCCGACGCACGTCGCTTGGATCCCCCGCCATGGCTCTTGATCGGCTGCTCAAGTCCAAATGCATATCATACATTTTCATCATCTCATCATCTCATCATTCTTATCCCCTCACAAGAAGGAGACCATACCCCAAAACCTCCGATCATTCCAAAGACGTGAGATCCGACGCCACCAAGGCTTGGTTGCGGACAGACACCCCTTCCACGGCCGACACACCACCACATGACAAACACCAACAACAACTAAAACAACATTGGGCTACCACTCGTGGGGAGGAAAGCGAAGGCAAAAACTCGCACTAAAAGGAATCCACTGCCCGGCAGCAGGGCAGACAAGCCAAGACGCCACCACGAAGCAAGGGCCACAGCAAACACTCACAAGCAGCAACAACAAAAATGCCACTCGTTTCTCCCATCTCATTCTTAGTAGACCTCGCCGCCTCCGCCGCTGTACTGGTGTGCGTGCTGCGCGTGCCTGGCGGCTTCACGCTCGTGTTCCAAGTCCACGTCCACCATCTCGAGTCCCACGTCCCCTGCGTACTCGTGCTTACCCTCCTGCTCGTACTCCTGCTCGTCCCACTCCTCGCTGCCCTCGGGCGACATGCCGGGCGGGGCCTCCTTCACGGCCGCGTCGCCCTCCTCCTCCTCCGCGTCTTCGAACTCTCCGGTCCTCACGATCTCGTTCTGGGCGTTCACCTTCACTTCGCGGTTGCCCCACCTCCGGTCCTTGAGCGTGCACAGGGCGTACAGCTTGATCACGGCTCCCCAGTATTGCACGAAGATGAAGGGGCCGATGTACCAGAACCACCGGCAGGGGGGACGCGGGCGGGACCAGGTGAAGTACATGACGGTCTTCATCACGCGGGTCACCAGGATGTAGCAGGCGAACGCGACCAGGATGAACATGTTCTGCTCCCAGAAAGCATAGAACAGGACGGCCATCGGACCGTACACCATGGTGAAGGGGGAGATCATCTTGTCGAGCGATGTCACCGCGAGCCACGGGTACTTTCGCCACACCGAGCGCTCGAGGAAGAGCATCTTGATGTCCGAGCGCCAGGAGTTGCGGCTCCAGCGCAGAAGCTGCGCGCGGAGCTTGGCGCCCTCTTCGAACTGGGTGGACAGGGTGCACACCTGCCGTTTGGGGGAGGGAGGGAGGGTCACGAGAAAATCGAATGTGAGCGAGACGAAAAAACAAACAGCGGAGACGTGCATGCGGTGTGTCTGGCGGGCGTCCTCCTTTGAGGTGCGGCGGTCATCTCTCACACACGGCCGGGCGGCATCGTCCGCTTGCCGGAACGCCCCCGAATTTGGTGTGCATGAATGACGTCAAAAAATACTGAACTTCGACGGGACTGTGTGGCAAGCGCACCCTTAGGTCGTGCACAGGATGTAGAGGGTGCACTGCTGCAAAAGGCGTGTGTTTTTATTATTCCTTAAAAGGCGAGAACACCCGACATGACAGCACTCCAGACCCTGTGCCCCATCGCAGCAGAGGGTGCACTGCTGCAAGCGACGTCAGTCAACACGCGCACTCTGGCCACCAACCTCCCGCTTTGTCCGTTGTCCAAGTCACAAGCTTCGGCAGCTACTGTAGCTGTCCGCCACTGCAAACCTACACACAACAATACACGCAGCTGCATTCTGAGCTCACGAGCAATGACACGGCACGTCAACGTGCACTGTAACACACCTCGCAGATCTGATGCCACATCTTGTAGTCCGACATGATACAGAGGCGCGTCAGGCACTTGTCATCTCCCGAGAGCTGCAGCTGTCCGGCGAAGTGCTCGTTCAGGAAGTAGTTCTTGAAGCCGTCGAAGCGGAAGAGCTGCGTGCGGTAGGCCATGGTTCGGCCTGAAAGGCACGTGGAACCGCCGCCCATGAAGGTGGTGGCGCGGTACTCAAGGTATCGCTGGTACAGACGCATGTCCTGATAACACGGGTGGGGGAAAACACACGTGGGGACGCACAATCTTGAGGGTGCTTTGGTACATACGTGGACCCCTGCATACAGATGCGCATGAATCCTCGAACAGCCGTTCAAAAGCAAGAACAATCGCATTGCCTTTGGCACGGCGACAGAGCTCCTCCGACAAAGCCTGTACTGCTGGTACCAATACCTCACAGGGAGATACGTCGCTCTCGTCGAGCATCAGGTTACGCCCTTCTTGGTACACGTACAGGACCAACATCAAGCACCAACCATGTTCCTGGTGCCAACCATCATGCTCACAATTTCGTGACGCTGTCTGTCGCTCCAGCCGTTGTCTACGGTGCCTTTCGATAATGTTTTTTACTTGGTGAGGATACAGCAGTAGTGAGAAAACATCGCTACCTGCTACGGAAAATGCCTGCAGGAGACACTGCGGTGTTCACGTTTTAACGTACGGATACTTCTTGCTGCACCTCCAACACATGAAGCGGGGTTCCCCCGTGCGGCCACCAGGCTCAGCAAGCCATTTATTTTCCAATTGCGAAGCAGTACATACGCGTAGAACGCAACAAACGAATCCAACACGCTCTGTTCATAAGCGAAGGGTGCAGGGAAAATTGTAAATTACCCTTCGGGTGTGGTGAGACATTGTTTCGCGGCGCCCTTTTCGTCGCCAAACCCGACACGCAGCAAATGGATTGGAACCCAGTGTTGGTTGCAATCAACCCATACATGTATGGCTTCGACGTACATACTGGTACTAACAACACGGGTACCAGCCCGTCTCGTGGTCCATACACTCGTGGCACGTTCAGAACTAAAAAAAAAAGGGACTCGACTGACCATCATGATGTCCGAGAAGCAGAACTTGTCCGCCTTCGGGCGAGCGATCTGCCGGGTGCCGCAACCGCCCATGGCCGGGTCCTTAAAGGGCATGATGAGGCTCTTGAGCACGGCGGGGCCGTAGAGGGCATCGTCGTCAGCGAACACGGTGATCTCCGTGTCAACGTAGGCCAGCCCGGTGTACATGGCGGCGCGCTTGCCGGGCTTGGACTCCTCCACGACGCGGATGATAGTGGCGCGAGGGTTCACGGTCTCCACGATGTTGAGCACCTGGAAGCAGCAGCAGCAGCAGCAAAATGCGTTGTCAACACATGTACAAGGCGAAACGAAAGAGCTACATATGGTCACAGCGTGTCAACAAAGCAACGCATGCACTACGTGATACGCACATGTAGGTAGGCATGTGACAAGCAGGCTGACAGGAACAACAAACAATTGTTCCTCGTTTGTAGGACGTGGCTTCGATTGCCTCTTTCCACATGATGGAAAAGTTTATCGCCGCGTCACATGGCAATTTTTTCCACCAACCGGCTCGCGCTGCGCCGCCAAGGCCAAGCATACATAAAAGGGAAAGCAAACGCTGCTGCTGCTCTCGGGGCAAGGTGTCCATGCGGTGCGGCGAAAGGAAACATTTGAAATCAAACGTGCTTATAGGCAACATAACACATACTTCTACGCATCTTGCCAACGACCAAAATCTGGCGCCGCGTGGAAAAAACAGCGGAATCGAAGAAAAAAAAAAAGCAGGAAGGTATCAGGTAGTTTGCTGCTGGCGTTTGAAGCCTGAGCGTGTATTAGACAGCCATCGTTTGAATAAAAGGTTCTTTGACGACACTAGCGAATGGCTCGCGGGTTCACGACTACATACCTCGAACTCAAGGGAATTGGGCACCGAGCTATGCCGGAAACGAAGTTGAATCGGTTCATAAACCCTCCCTCTGAAGGGTGCAACGTATGTACAATTTCACACACAACGTCTCTCTCTCTCGTTTACCGTTATCGAGGCGGACCACACCAAGTCTATGATAAGAGCAACAGAAATAATGCACCACGACCAAACGAGCGCCGTGGACAACAACTTCCGTCTCTCGTCCAAGCCGCTGCTGTGCCAATAGCGAAGCCAACCTGCTGCTGCCGCTGCTGTCGGGAGAGATGGATTCTGTGCCGCACATTCATCCCGCGTTCACAACTGATCTTCTTGTGTGTGTTGGATCACACTTATCTCTCAGGCGGTAAAAAAAAACAAATAATCTCTTGTTGCTGCTGTGTGTCGAAAAAAAATATTTGTGTTCCCTTTTCGCTCCGTGGAGTTTGGTCGCGTTCTCTCTCCTCCACGTGCGACACAACACTACTCAGCCGGTTATTACCCGCTGACCGTGAACATAGCAAGCAGTGAAGGAGTTCTGCTACAAGCGGGAGCGCGCAAAGAGCCGAATCGATAGCCTGTTGCAGGCATGCGTTGATGCATCAAGCGTGTGACAGAGATAGAACACACATGTCGGAAAATAAACACTTGGTTGTCGCGCAGAGTAACAGCAGCAGCACGGCGGTTGTCTTTCCATAGATTCCAAAGCTTGGAACAACAAGCCGGCACAAAAAAACGCAGAACACAGCTGCAGTCTGCCCACGTCCGCTGTACCCCAGAGACGGAGTACATAGGAGAACCAGAGTGATCATGGGCTCGAGAGCAACGCTGCCGTTTTCCATGCCCTGCCTCGCCTACCATTCTCTCCTCGGAACGCCCAACGGTTCGCTCTCACGCTGTTTTCTTCGCTCGCGTGGCATTTTTCTATTTTCGTCACTTGTGACCTCTCGGGCGTCGTGGAAGCAATTAGGTGACTGCTGGCACACGAGCTTTTGCGCACGGCACATGACTACCGTCGTTGGCTGCGGCACACAGGATGCGCATCGGAATAGCGCGGCTGCGTCGTTGCCCGCGGGGGTCTCCGGCAGAACGGCATGCTAACGTGTCATCGGACGAAGCTCTCAATATGTATTCGATGTTGGGGTGAAAATAGGAAGGTTGAAAAAAAGAAAATTACATGGGAGATCGACCTCTCTGTCAAACGCGCGAGAGAGTTGCAGCGAGGTGGCGCCCGCCGCCCTCTCCGGCCGAGCTCCTGCGGTAGACGCAAGCAAGGCTCTCGGTGGGGCGGGCCGTGCACCGTGCTCTCACCTGTTGATACGAGTTGGTGTCCACCACAATCACGATGGTTTTCGGTCGATTGTCGACCCAGCTCTGGAGGCACTCCTCGAAGCCAGGCTCCGGCATGTAAACGGGGATGATCATCGTCATCATCTGAGTGCTGACGGGCAAATGCCCTTGCTCGAGCTCTTCGCTGATGGGTATCGGCTTGTAGAGCAGGCTGGGGATGCCCTTCAGGATCAGGTACGCTCCCCATCGCCAGATCCCAATCCACAGAGGCAAGAAGAGGACAGGGTCAAAGTGGAACCAGGGCGTGTTGCCCTCCTTCAGCGGCATGGTACCGCCGGTCACCCCCTGCCCCTCTACCTGTGCTCCGTCTCCCGCTTCCCTCTCACTACGTGTACAGCTGCGTGCGCGGCGGTGCCGTCGTTCGTTTACCGGGCGTAGTCTCCCCCCTTGCCTCGCTACCTACGTTGGGGAGTTTGGATGGGGTGAAGGGAGAGAGAGAAAGGGGAAGATGTGGCGAGACGGCATTCGATTTTGATTCGCGAGAGGGGGGCACGCGGTCTGGATGGAGTAGAAAAAAAAAATCTTGCAAAAGTCCGAACACTGATGACCCGAGAATGTTGGTCCGTCAACTGGTAAGGTTCTTGGAGATATAGGCGCGTGCAAGTGCGTATGCGAGCAACCGCGGCCGCAACAGAAGCTTCGACAAACACTCCCAGCACGTTATTTTCCCTCCCAAACATGTAGAACCGCGCGATCACCCGGGAAGAGTTACACAGGACGTTGCTCACCTGGTTCTCATCGTGTCCGATTGTCACCCGCTGAAACCCGCTGCCTCTTTGCTGTGTGTGTATGCTTTCTACAGCAGTGGCGCTACTCTTATGTACAGCAGCAGACCTTCCTACAATTTTGGCTCGCATCTTTAGAACTGCCGGACTGACCTGACAGATACGTAAAGAGTTGAAAGATCAGCGCAGTACACGAACTACAAGAGTGCATCCCCTGCCTGGAGGTTTGGCTATGATAGGTGTTGTTAAATGCTGTAGAAACACCAGACAGACGTCAATTGTCTGAGATGATATTATTTACTTCAAGAAGACGACCCACCAGCTTATGTAGACTATACAACACACAATCACACACATGTCAATCTGTTGTGATAAGAACAAACGTTGTTGCATCAGTTTATGCGAACTATATTTCTCAGTCTACACAGAGTCAGTATTTATTTGCGGTGATGATTTGGTCGGGCTGATTTTGGTCGGGCAACGCCCTCCTCCAAATTAATTAGTCCATCATCTTCATCATGCCTGTGTCATGCACAAACCATTCTTCTGATGATAACAGGCATGCGCCTACTTCCACATATATATTAGACTTACCTACAGTTTTAATTTTGTTTTTCTCTTTCCTTATACATGTCATGTACTACAAGTATTCCCTTTTTATTTTTTTCTCTTTTTCTCTCTTTTTTTTCTCTCTTTTTCTGTACGAGATGGCCTTGTCTCTGCTTGCGTTCGTTGTGAAGTACCAAGATTGAACCAAGGGGGTGTACCTCATTCTCTCCGGCCCGTGATAGTGACTCCTAGTCTCAGTTGATACCTCGCATAGCGCGCAGAGGGAGTAGTGGAGGACTCCAGAATATCTGTCGTTGATTTCTATTGACTTGCGGACCCCTCGGGGCCAGTTTATTTTGAGTGTACCTTTTTAGTTAGGGTAAGTTAACCTGTGACCACGGGAATCGACCGCGTCGAGTGTTGGATCAGTACGGACATACGAAGGTACTGGGTAGAGAGAGATCGGAACGGTTTTTACAACAACAACAACAACAACAACTACTACTACTACTACTACTGCAACGGCACAGTAAACAGCAGTGAAAGGCATGATCGCTACTGGTGTGTGGTGTGTAGAAGACGCGATTTTTCCACTACAAGTAATCAGTAGTCTCGTCTACATCGGAGGTGTTCGTCGATTGCAATCGGCATCCAAGCGCTCTCACTACTGTCCTTTTTTCCTGGGTCGAGTGTCTCCATATAGTTTCCATCGCGAAACAAGCAAAAACAACAGGGACGAAAGGAGGTGCACATCGTATTGTTTCGTTTGGAAGAGCATGCCCACACCCTATCCTGCGAACAAAAATAATGCATTACGTCGTAAGACACCGAGGGCACAAGGTCATGCTGAATGGACATTTGTCTGAAAGTGAGCGAATCGTCCTCGACCGACGTTGCGTAGAACAGGACCCCCTCCCCCCCCACCCCCCCACCCCATTTTCAGAAGCTCTCCTGTGCTTGCTAGGTAGGCAAAGAAGAAGTATAGACTTCGCGGCAGGAACTTCGAGCTGGCGTCGAGTCGATTCAAATCTTAATCTTGCTTCCCGATAATCATATTCGTGTGCATCCACGGGGGGTGGGTGTGGTACGTCCGCCAGACTCTCGAACAGTACAAGTTCCAAACTAATAGCTTCGAAAATCTGTTGTTCTTGCGGTCCTCCTCCGTCCACCGTTCGTTTTCGGTGGGTCCATTATTCTCTGGTTGGTGGCGGGGTTTACACCCGAGATGTTTTCTTCCGCCATAATCGGACAAATCTCTTCGTCGACTCACAACGACGCCAATCAATGTGGAACAGAGGAATCGTCCGCGATGGATGTTGGGGACTTGAGGGCTTAAACAAAGATACCAGTGGGAGAGTGTACAGCATATCGCGCACGTAGCATTTCAATCGTTAAGCGTTCGCGTCGCCTCCAAATTCGTTGTTGGTGTTCGTTTGCAGAAGGTCCACGCTGGAGTGGCGTCAAACGCAAACAAGATGAGTGGTGTACATTACTTGCTTAATCGGGGCAATTTCAATCAAAATCCCGCGTTACAATATCGCCAATTTGTTCCCAGACAGTTCAGCGTCGGTGCTTTTGGGGGCGGCCTCGCGACGTTCTCCCTCCTGGTCATCCACACGCTGCTTGATCTCAAGGCCACCACCTAGTCCTCCCCCTCGATCGAAGTACATCCCTACCCACGCTTGCTTGCTGTAGAACATCGGGTCGCCGAGGAGTAGTGCCGCACGGATGTTCGTCACATAGTACGCAGTTGCCGCTGCGATGACGGGTGGCACAGTAGGCAAGGGTGTCATTTTCTTCTTGCGCTGGTCTTTAGGTCGTCATTTGAACGTCCAGTTCCAGTGGAGGTGGGCGTCCGATCCCATGTACATGCAACAACGCTATTGGCACATCGACGCCTGAGTTCTCTTAGGCGAATGGCGTGACTGCAAGGAAATAACCGCAAGGAAAGTGAGGCACAACATGGCACCATCGCCCTATCGACACTACTGGGAAACAAGACAACAAATGAAACGCTCTTTTCATGAGACAGCAGTACTCCGGGTTTCGGTCGGCTGGACCTGACTAGGCTGCCCGGGTTTTCATGACTGCCTGACTTGTCGAGGGCGCGAGATTGAGATGTTCATCGCCACAGAGGGACACAACTGGTTGCTCTGCGGGAGGAACGGCCGGCGGAGCCAAGTGTCGCCGGCGGCACTCGCCTATCTTGTGGAAGATTGAGAGAGGAAGGTAGCCGCGCAAGTCCCACACCTGCCAGATTCCCATCCCCTCTTCGCCTTGCACCATGGCTGCCTGTTGGCAAAAAACAGTTGGTAGCGAAAACATACAGCACACACAGCAAGCAAAGGGAGACGTGCGGTGGGATATGAAAGAACACAGACTGTCAACCACGAGCTGGGCTTGTCGCTGCTAGAAGGGTAGGGACGGTTGTCTCAAGATAGACACGTGATAAAACCTAAGCTGGATTGATCGCGGAGATACCAGCGGCATCAAAGCTCAGAAGTTTTTGAAGCCCGTGGTTAGCCCCTTGCGGTACGAGATAATAGTCTCAGTATGCGCTTCCGCAAGCTAATCTGTTGCAGACGTGCTATTTGGCGGGGTATAGAGGAACTACATAAGATCCATTCCCTTGGCAGTATTTTACAGCCGTGTTGGTAGCAGAACACAACGTAGGTGCTGCTTATTGTTCAAAAGACATGGCCAATTGCACCAATCCAACATGCTCGTCACAGCGACTCCCAGGCTCGTGGAGCAGGGTTTGGAGGCCGTTCTGGTATAAACCCTTCGATACGCTACATGCGGGTGTCAACACTTTCGTCCGACGATGCTACGTTTTGTCGTGTCTCTCACCACTCGATAGCCGTAGACGCAGGCTGTCGTGACAAAATACAAGACGTTTATGACGTACACCGTCAGGTATTGCGACGTCAGCATCCCCATAAGCCCGACTCGAAACGGGTAAGTCTCAAACATCATAAGAAAGAGACAAGCGAAATTTCCCACTTGGACCACGAGCTGAAACCTGTATGTTTTTGGAACACAGGTCCAAAAGAGGGGTGCGGGTTATCTGTGAGCCGAGGCGGGTGTCTCACTCGTGAGGATATGGCCAAACCGATTGAGTGCAGAATTCCATCTACACATACAGAATCAATCCCTACACTTGGCACGAGGCTCGCTCGCGGCTTGTTCCCTCTGTGGGGTATGTAGCAAAATATGTAACATTCATGTATGTTTGGGTCGCTTGGCAGAGTACCGCACCCAAACAATGCACTCCGTATGTGTGGTGAGAGTTTTCTACACCCGACGTCACAGTGAGTGTTTTATATCGAAGTCCTAGACTGGAAGTGGCGCCCAAGGTTCTACGGTGGGTGGATGGAAGCCCGTCAGGCGTGTGTAACACACCAGCCTCTCCAGTAGGGAACCCTATGCCTCGCTCAAATCCCGGCAGGCCTTCCTTACCCAAGGATGAGCACCAAGGCGGTTCCGTCCCTCCCGGTCCCGTCCCACGTGCCAAAAGTTTCGTGCTCCACGCTGCTGTTGAGAGTCATGTCGACGACCGTCAGAAACACCATGATGAAAAGCTTCACCCTGAACAGGATAGAGTCGCCCCCGCTGACACGAGAAGCCGGCAAGAAACACAGTCATGCGCAGATACTTCAAAGATACATACGATCCTCGAGGTTCTCATGGAGATATACAGGCTACAGTAAAGAGCGTCGTGTCACCTGTACTGCTGTACCACAGCGGTGCGTTCGGTAGCTGAATAGCTTTACAGGACAATGGCGACAATGAGAACAGGCTGCCTGTTTCCACCAACGTTTGCATAGGTGTTGAGTGTGCTCTATATGCCGTGCTCGAGTATTGTACACGATGCGCATCGCGCCGGCGGTATTCAAATAGCAGTAATCTACACAACGATACTCATTCAAAAGGTGAAAAGGATATCCTTGGATTTCTACTGTACCATTGGATACTGCTGTGTGCTTATTTTTCGTCCTTGCTGTGCTCCACCCGCGGTTGCGCAAGGACCCGAGGGTGCAGCAGTGAGCCGGTCGCCGGTGACAAGACAAAAGATCTGAACATCGGTCAGGGCCAAACACAACTCGGATCCTTCGAGGTTGTGTGAAAAATGCGGCGGGATTGTTTTACCAGCGCGCAGCTGATGATTATGCGGAGATGAGCGGATCAAAAGTATCACAAGTTCCATCCAACAGAGCAGCGGTGGGAGAAGCGTGGAAAATAGAGCCTAGACCGAAATGCCTGCCGACGGCGGTATCTCGACGAGCTTCAGGACAGCACCTAGTTACCAGTGCACAGTCTCACGTTGTCACTGATGCGTTCCTGGCCACCGCAGCCATCGTCAGATAGATGGTGTCCTCCGGTTGGGTAGGGAACTGCTGTCGCTGTCTGCGATCACCTGCACCCGGCAAAGGAGCCTCCCATCTCCACCCTATACGGCGAGCCCGCCCTGTCCAAGACAACTTGTGGATAGTGCAGCCTATGCATAGAACGGTCTGCGGTAGATCTTGTACCCTCCTCACCTTCGATCCTTAGAAAAATTACGTGACAGTCTCGTCGTCGTGCGTACAGACTCTTCGTCGTTTCGTCCGTTACTTTTTCTTGTGTCGAATCGTAACTCTTGTTGTGCATGACAGAGCCTAATTGTCTGTCCTCATGGTTTGTACAAGGATGGCCTATAGTGCTGTCACTGATCCGAGCGTGATGCAGCAGCAGTATGTAGACTACACCTTATAACAGCATCCACCGGCTGACCACAAATGAAACGCTTCGTTTTTGTACTCGGAATACTTCGCACGAAATTTGTGTTCGTTTTTCGCTGCGGACTTAGAGGGAACAAACGTCCGAGGCTCCGGGCTCCGATGATGAAACATATTACCCCGCGAGTTTGGGGTGCACCTTGATGTTGGACAACAGGCAGGACGAGAAAAGATCCGATAAACTGTTGCCAGAGGGCCAGTCGGGCTCTTGTTGCTTGGAAGCGTCAGCGCGCATACATATACGTGGAGAATCAGACGTGCGTCATGCTACAACACACTTTTGGGTCACCGCCGGAGCCACCCAGAGCGAAAACTTACGAGCAGACGAGAGACCGCTGGAAACGATGTCTCGTTTGTTTTTGCGTAACGCCCCCGGGTTAAGGTGGGAGGTTTTTTCTACTTCACCTCTGAGCGGAATCAACGACGATGACAAACAACAACGAACGGCCTACACACAGACGTGGAGATCAAAAAGTATCGCGCCATCACTATCATTCACGCCGCCCTCCGAAACGGTTTACCTATAATTCCCATTTTTTAGGCTACAAGGCACGCAAACCAACCAATAGTGCGCAGAGTGCGCAACAATGCAGCACCACCCAGCTAGTTTTTAATTGACAACAGACTCGGCATTGACATTGCTCCACGCTCTCCTGGCCGTGTCTTGCATATGGCGTTCTGCTTTTCTGCTCCCTTCTACATAATGGAAGCTATCAGCCGGAAGTCGACCCTCACGGTAGCGACCGCCTCAACTACACGTTGCCTTCGTCATCCTAAAACAACAACAGCCACGCTTGTTTTCAGTCCAACGTTTAAGAAGTTTGTCGCAACCAAAACACACGACGTAAACACCTTCCAAAATTGCTAACCCTCGCCCCTAGTGTACCAAAACTGACGCGCGAAGGTATCGAGAGGTCACACGGGCAGGAAACAACACGCTTGCAGGAGACGGTCGTTGCTGGTCTCATGCAGTCTCTCTTGAACCCCGACATTTTCTAAAAAGGAAGGGGGGGGTGGCACATAAAGGTAGTGGTATTATAGACAGCACCGGTGTTTCCAACTTAGTCATTTCTATACTTTATCCAGTATGTTAGAAAAAGCCTTCGTAGACCGGACGATTGGCCTCAAGGCGTTCCAACCTCACTTAAAAACCTGAGTTCTCTTGGTAAACCGTTACCCCTGCTCTCGTAAACTACTGTCGCAGGTACTGACCACCGCTGCTGCTGCTCTTGTAACGCCAACGACCAAAACCAGATCGCGCAAAAACCCGGCCGGTTGATCATCAGTTGTCTCCGGACACCAAAGCAGCCGAGACGTGTCGACGAAAAAACGACAAACAAAAAGAACGACACAACAGAGGACTCAACTTTTGCACGAACACAGAGAAAAAAAACTCCCGTTACTGTTGCCTGTGTTTTTATACACTACTGCTGTACGAGGCCAACCAGCGGGGGTCTACAATACGAAAGGTGTCGTGCGGCTCGGTGACGCGGGGGGGGGTGGGGGGGGTAACAACGCAAATGAATGGGACAAGCCTCAACCGTTACGAATCGTAAAGCGACGAAGGGCCACAAAGCGGTGGCCAAACAACGACCAACAAATGCCCCACGCGCCGTATACCCATGCCATACTCGCTCACCCTCGCCCCGTCACAGAGTGTGCACAGGGTGGGCTGTGCCCGCTAAACTAGCGGGCAGGTGCACCCCGACAACGGAAGTCGCCACGCGGGTGGGATGAGCAGAACACACAGGGGGGGTCACGTAGAAGAAGGCACACGAGAGAGACCCGTTCGAAAAAAAACAGTGAGCGTGGCACCCCAAACGCGTTCACATCGTTCATGTCGGGAGAAAAGAGGACGAGCCCCCTATGTGTGGCGCATGCACATGTACGTCCCCCGAATAAATCGGCCCACGCTCTTTCTACACCCTCTACATTATCCAGGACTGTTTTTTTGGTGCCGTCTACAACTGTCAGTAGTACGTATTCTGGGCACCAGTGGATACCTTCTCGAAAGCAATTGCTATGGAAATCCAACCAGATCACATCAAAGTCAGGGGTTTTGCGTACGCAAAAACTCACACACGCTAACAGGCTCTCAAATTCTCTCAAATTATTCGCTTCCCCCCGTCACTCAAATTATGTCGCACACGCTGCGCTTTCTTCAGCATTATGGTGCGTCGATAACGGCCCCAAAAAAAAATACAGGCGATGTCACGCTAGAGAAGAGCAACACCGAATGCATAGCACTACTGAAAAGAGAGGAGCCGTGTTATGCACCCAGGCACCTCCGGGGGGGCTAGACCAGCCCACCCAAAACAGCATACAAAACGGCTGCGATCCCGATTGGGATGGAAGCCGCTACGCACGCCCTTCTCATCGACCAGCATATGCACACTTCCCTCGCGGATCAACGATCAGCAGCTGCAAGAGTCAGCACGACCGTCAGGAAAACACAGAAGCCTTGAAGGAAAACCTCGGAATCTTCCACTTTGCAGGCGGTTTCATATGAGAGAGGGGCACACACGCGACGGACTATAATCTAGTAGACCCCCCTTGCCGACTCACGTACGTACGGCGGTGGCACCCCGTCCGTCGCAGGCGCGCAGCGCCGTCCTACAGAAACACGGTGTGCTTCTCCGAGATGTTCGCACGGCAAAGAGGGCAGACAGTGAGGCTTTCCGAACACTGCGGGCACGTGGCCATGTGCATGCACGGGAACGTCACCTGCGAGCGAGAGTGCAAAACAAACCGATGCCAGCGATTAGGACAACGGGCCGTGAGTGGACGGCCTTCACCAGAGGCTCTCGGACACCACTAGTGTTAATCAGGCAGCGTATCTGTGACTAAGCATGCGCTTCGTAACCGTTTGAACAACGTGTACCAACGACCACCCCAAAGAGTCGATGCCGTTGGGCACACCGTTTCGCCTCTTGCTCCGCCAAAACAAAGCGGTAACCAAATCTTGCCTTGCATAGACACGACAAGGTGGATGCCGTGCATGCCTGGTTCAGAATATCGGGGCTATCAGAGTGTCAGACTACCCCGTGGCCCAGGGCTAAGACTAAGATTTCCATACACTACGACAGACGTGTAGGATGTACATAGTCCATAAACATGACTTCTCTCCGCAAAAGGCGTACGGTTGCCTGAGCAAAACAGCAGCAAAACCAAAAAAGCCGTTTCGTGGTCAACTTTGGGTTAAGCCACAAGATTTTCGAGCCTCCTCGAGAGGAAGGGGTCACCCCGTCAATCTCCGGCTTTCATGTCTGTGTCCTACAAGAACGATCACAACAAAAGGAGCCCTTATCTCGAGAACCAAATCTTGCGAACATGCGCGCTGTCTCACCACGCGAGAAAACCATTCCCGAGGGGAACAAAAAGAGCCATTTTGTCGAAATCGACTGCTGATGGGGACAGGCACAACTATCTAGCTCACCACGCGAGAGCGACGCCGGAAGCACACGCAGCAGTTCCCCTCCTTCTTCTCGCCTACATCCACCTCCACATCGCTGCTCGCGCAGCACACCAGCAACCGGTCACGCAATGCACAACGTTTGCAGGGGGGGGGGGGGGGGGGGGGGGGACGATTGATTTCAGTCGTCAGGTCGACGGCGAACCCCGCCCCCCAGGCGTGCCCGAGAAACGCGCACGTATGCGTACCCACCCGTCCGTGTGAACCGGGCCAAATAGCCTTTGTAGTTTCAAACTTCAACTTGGACACGACGGGTGGAACATCAACATCAAGAACAAGATTTTTCTTGTTATAATCTGCTCTGTTCCCGACAGATGAATATTGGGTAAGAGCGCCTTCCGCTCATCGAACACCCTTGTAGCCATATTGGACCCATTAGCATGGACGCAATAATATCTCTCTTCCTCTG